TCCTAAGATAGGTCGAACTTACTATATAGGACGAGGCTTTGTTTCCAGTTTTCTAAAGATTCTTACGCAGATACAACGTATCAGAACAGGTAAACCCCTAAAATTACCGGGGTTATTCCGTGACATGAACGTATCAAGAAAATAAACAGGTATTTTAATGAGTCCAGCATTTAAATACAGTTTTTAAAAAAATGTAGTTAAAACTTCTTTGAATTGTGTTACTACTTATTTTTCCCCAACTTGCCTGTTCAATGTCTCCGTAGTTTCACACTGTTGTTAAATCAGAGGCATAAATAACACGTAAATATGTTATTATTTTACAGCTATGATTCGGGAAATACCCGAGACCAAAGAATAGTAATTCCGATTTCAGAACAACTTGGATACATTCCTAATAATTTTTATTCAGACATTATTTACCGGTGGACGACAATTACTTCGATGTCCGCCATTTTTATTTTTCTTCTCCAGGGATTTGCTTAAACACGCAAATGACCATTGAATGTATATATCAAGCAACAGTAAAGAATTGAAATCATATAAACACTCTATAAGTTTAATTTATAAATTTTAATTGAGAGTACATTCACAATTTGACTGTCAACATGAATTTCACGGCTTTGTTTGTTCAATGATGTGTAACACCAATACCCTGTAACGGCACGTGGGTTTCTTAATCATGCCCCGCAGGCATTTAAAATAACACAGGTGTTCAACACCTTTGCGTACACAGTGTAAATCCCTTTATCTGTCAGACAATTAAAATTCTGTTAGAAGCCAATCTTTGTATACCGGTAATTCAATGTACTTCTTGTGTACGAAGCTTTTAATAAACCTTATAATATTAGTTAAAATTATATTAGTCTTAAATTATATTTCTGTCACCCGTATTTATTACTAATTCTTTGCTTGTAAATTCCATATCAATAAAATTAATTTTTATCATCCGCATGTATATTTCCACAAATGCTTGTAAAAATTTTAAACCATCTTTCAAAGCGATATATTTTTTTTTCACCCAAACTTATAACTCACTACAGTTGTGATCGTGAAAAATTTCCGTATTTTAAAGTTTGATACGGTTGCGGTTTTACTTTTAGTACACGACTGCGACTTCCTAGCTTCACAAGATGGATACCGCATGATGTTAATGGAGAATACGTTGAGGAATTATTTAATAGATGAAGCAATGTTGTTTTCCTTTGTCATCAACGGATAATAAATGGAATTTATTTTGTAAGAAAGCTATAAAATAAATATTTTAATGTTTACCGGGGCATTAATTTTTTGCGAAAAATAATCAAAAAAGTTACGAAAGTGGCACAAATTTGCTTTGAAATTGACGTAAATTTTACTGATTAGGGGGCATTTTTCGTAAACTTGAGCCTTAAATAGGTCGAATTCTGTATATTGGGCGACCCCAGCGGTTCTGAGAAAAAAAGTATCGACCTATATTCCGTAAATTACGGTAATCGAAGTGTTTAGTATTGTACCTTTAAATTGGTCATCCCACCCACCACCCCTTCATCTCCTGTTTTATAAGTACTAACATATATCTGTTTGACATTGCATCTTTAAAAATTGTAAAATTGTAACATGTATCTCATTATTGTTATGATGTACATCATTATCTTTGTTTTAATATTGTACTTCAATCACTGTTTATATCATCAACTGTTTTAAAGGGGCTGCTTTATTTGAATTATTTTAATATTAATAAATTTGGACATTAAATTATAGGACATTAAAATTCCCATGTATATTAAAATTCCCATGTATTTGGAATTTTTCTACCCCCAAATTCAAATAAGCAAAATGCTCATTGAAGCTTTATTATTAAAGTTTACAAATTGTGTACTCAACACACAAAATACCTAATATATTTTTACCATGCTTTAAGTTCACATTTAAGTAACCTGCCGGGCTCCCCCCAGGTACTTTAACTACTTAAATTATTAGCAACCTGCTGGGCTCCCCCCAGGTTGATTGAAATACCTACTGTATTAGTACCATGCTTTTAGTTCACATTTAGTAACCTGCCGGGCTCCCCCCAGGTACTTATATTATTATCAACCTGCTGGGCTCCCCCCAGGTTGATTGACTACAACCAAAAAATATTGCTTTGTTCGGTATCGATGATTGCCTGCTGGGCTCCCCCCAGGTAATTTTAATTTGGAACCTGCTGGGCTCTCCCCAGGTTCTGGGATAACAACTAATAACCTGCTGGGCTCCCCCCGGGTTATATTTTAATCTATGTATTTAATTCAGAGAGCATTCCCATGTATTTGGAATTTTTCTACCCCCAAATTCAAATAAGCAAAATGCTCATTGAAGCTTTATTATTAAAGTTTACAAATTGTGTACTCAACACACAAAATACCTAATATATTTTTACCATGCTTTAAGTTCACATTTAAGTAACCTGCCGGGCTCCCCCCAGGTACTTTAACTACTTAAATTATTAGCAACCTGCTGGGCTCCCCCCAGGTTGATTGAAATACCTACTGTATTAGTACCATGCTTTTAGTTCACATTTAGTAACCTGCCGGGCTCCCCCCAGGTACTTATATTATTATCAACCTGCTGGGCTCCCCCCAGGTTGATTGACTACAACCAAAAAATATTGCTTTGTTCGGTATCGATGATTGCCTGCTGGGCTCCCCCCAGGTAATTTTAATTTGGAACCTGCTGGGCTCTCCCCAGGTTCTGGGATAACAACTAATAACCTGCTGGGCTCCCCCCGGGTTATATTTTAATCTATGTATTTAATTCAGAGAGCAGCCCCCAAGATGCCAAAGTTTTTTGTAATGTATTTTTATAACAGTATTTGTTTTTAATTTATTTGTACTCAACCTTGTGTTGTACATAGTGTTTTTTTGATTTATTATGTGATGTGTTCATTTTAATAAATCTAAACCTTTACCTTTTGTCATGTTGTGTATAAATTAACAATTCAAATTTCTAAAACGATTTAGAGTTTTAGAATGTTGATATATTAGTTCAAATATCTAACTTTTAAAAACTCAAACTGATTTGGTATATTGAATTTTAATATTTTAGTTCAAATATCTAAAATTTCAATTTTCCAAACAGGTTTAACATTTTGAGTTTTAAGATTTTTACCTGAAAAATTCAAAATTCAAATTTCCAAAAACACATTTTGTATTTTAAACTTTTGAGTTTTTAATCTACCGTTTGTTTAGAAAGTTTACGCTTAACAATCCAAAATTAGATAACATTTTCGTCTTTTGATTATTTAAAATTTACTTCAAACTTCCAACTTTCAAACGCTTTAGGTTTTTAGAAATTTAGAATTTTGATTCAAAAACTCAACTTTTAAATTACCAAACGCTTTTGTACATTTTGAGTTTTTAGAAGTTTACTTCAAATATCCGAAATATCAAATTCCATAACTGGTTTAAATTTTGCATATTTAAAGTAAAATTCTAAAAACTCAAAGTGTTTAGGTAATTTGAAATTAGAACATTTGAATCAAAATTCTAAATTTCTAAAAATCTAAAACTTTCCAAAGTTGGGGTTTAAAAGTTTGAAGCTACTTTCAAATACCCAAAAGAAGAAAAATATTACCTAACTTTAGATTGTTAAGTGTAATCTTTCTGAACAAACGGTAGACTAAAAACTCAAACGTTAAAATTCCAAAAATCGTTTTCAGAAATTTGATTTTTGAACATTTAAGGTAAAAATCTTAAATATTAAAATTCTAAAACCTTTTTGGAATTTTGAACTTTTACATTTTTAAACTATAATATTAAATTTCAATATATGAAATCAGTTTGAGTTTTTGAAATTTAGAAATTTGAACTAATGTATTAACATTCTAAAACTCAAAATCATTTTAGAAATTTGAATTGTTAAGTGTTACACGGACCGACCCAGGAAAGGTGAAACGTATATGGAAGCATCCTTGGGTAGTGTAGATTATAGTTTGTTCAAATCATGACTCCCGGGGGTAAGGTGGGGCCAAAATGGCCGATAAAAGTTTTACATAGAAATATATAGGAAAATTTGTTAAAAATCTTCTTCTCAAGAATTAGCAAAGGCATGAATGATCATATTTATATGGAAGCATCTTCAGGTAGTGTAGATTCAGGTTTGTTCAAGTCATGACCCCTGGAGGTAGGGCGGGGCCACAATGGCCGATCAAAATTTTACATAGAAATATATAGGAAAATTCTTTAAAAATCTTCTTCTGTGGAATAGCAAATGCACGAATGATCATATTTTTATGAAAGCATCCTCAGGTAGTGGACATTCAAGTTTGTTGGAATTATGACCCCTGGGGGTAGGCCGGGGCCACAATGGCCGATCAAAGTTTCTCATAGAAATATATAGAAAAATTCTTTTAAAATCTTCTCTGGAATAGCAAAGACATGAATGATCATGTTTTTATGAAAGCATCCTCAGGTAGTGGACATTCAAGTTTGTTCAAATCATGATCCCTGGGGGGTAGGCTGGGGCCACAACATGGATTCCAAGTTTTACATAGAAACTTCTTTCTTTTCAAAAATAGCAAAGTCATGATTAGTCCTATTCATATGGAAGCATTCTCAGGTAGTGTAGATTCAGTTTTGTTCAAGTCATGACTCCTGGGGGTAGGGCACGGCCACAATGTAAGTTCAAATGTAAAGGGCAATAAAGCCACAGGTAGTCAAAGAAATATACAAGCATCCTTAGTTAGAGAAGATTCAAGTTTGTTCAAATCATACCCTCTCCCTTTTATGGATTGTTTGGGACCACTATTGGGTTTCAAATTTTCAATAATAAACTGATGTATGCTTTTTTGCTCAGGTGAGCGATGTGGCCCATGGGCCTCTTGTTAAATGTTCCCTTCTGTTGTCAATTTTTAGGGACAACCCTGCACTATATTGTATAAAGTTATCTGAAAATGATAGAATGAAGGAGATCACTTGAGTGATCTTGTCTCTTGCCCGTTACCTTTTCATACTAGATATCTAATATTAGATTTGTTTACTTTTCAGGACCCATTCAATTATTACTGTGGACTATGAAGGACATTGTGAGTTTTTGGAGAAAACACTAGTTACTCCTGTTGATGAAGATAACTTTCAATGGAAGGACACAGTGTTACAGTTTGACATACAAACCTCAAAGTAAAGACAATCAGCATGTGAGAACTGTATGCTTAGCTTAAAATATTTATATAGCATTACAGCTGTATTACAAAGTTTTGTTCGTCGTCATGTCTAAAAAAATATTTGGTTGCCCTTCCCCAATCAACTAGCAAAAAATGACTTGACTTAAATCTTTTTGCTTTTAAGTAAGCCTTTGCTTACTTGAGCTGAAAGCTAAGGTAAGCTTTTCTGATCAGCTGTTGTCTGTCATCCATCCATCTGTAAACTTTTTATATTTTACATCTTCTCAAGAGCCATGAGTCTATTTTAACTTAAGTTTTTCACCTTTCTACCAACCCTGTTATTTCATCCTGTTAAGCCAGTTTCGAGATTGTAGCTCTCCTATGATAGAATTCATAAATGAATATCCTCTGCCTGCTTACGCGGAAAAAAAAAAACTCGTACAAAAGAATGGACCAAGGGAGATAATCACAAATTTGTGAATTGAGAGAGGGTAAACAAACATTACTTTTAAGTTGGCTCTACAAAACTAATAAATAGTCAAGTTACTTTTATGTGAATAATTGTCTCACAGAAATGTGTTTTTGTCCTGCTAGCAGTGCCTGTCCATTAAAAGTCATAATTATAATTTTTTCCTCAAGGGAATAAATTAGTATTGTATTGAATAGATTATTAACTGAATGTAATGAATCAATAGATACAATTCAATCCATTTTGCTAGACTGTTGTTAGTGCACCCCCACTTTTTTGTACTATAATATGTACAGCTACATCTGTGATAAGCCCAACGTCCCTTATATTTTTTTTTTTTAGATTTTCATGGTGATCATGTCTACTAAATGAATACTCATGGGTGCACATTCCATTGTACCAAATTTTCATCATTCTTCAGTGTGACTTAATAAAATTAATTTATTTAAAAAATACATATATATACATGTACATGAAGTACTAGTAGATACAAGTTTATTAAAACTGTTTACAGGGTTATTTTCGCCCCATGTTTTTTTCACCCTTTTATACTTGCTTTCAAATTTGCTCCATTTTAAATTTGCCTAGTCTCAGTTCTGTTTAAGAATTTAAACTGTGTTCTTTGTATTCACCCCGTTTTAAATTCGCCCTCTTGTGACAAAGGCGAAAGGGTCGAAATTAAAACAGGGGCGAAAATTTCCCTGTATACAGTAGTAAGAGTAGTTAAAATGATATTCTCTGTTCTTACACTGCATGTTTAATTGACGGTATCTTCAAGTTTTACTTGAATTAACAATATCATGAATTCAAATACTTATATTGTAAACTATATTTTGTTATTTGTTTGTTTTATCATGATTGATCTCTCAAACTGAAGATAATTTTATATAACTTAGCAAATGATATTCAAATTTCTTGTTATTTCTTTCTGTTACTTATAGTTAGAAAAAAGTTTTATATACATGTTAGATATCAAATGGACCACTTCAGGTGCTAATGCTTTGTTTATATTTTTATACATGTAATAACAAGCATTGTATAATTATCTTTATGTTTAATTCTTTATTTAAAATTCTTTGTGATGCTCAATTGTAATAAAATCTAAAGCCTATTTATTGCTTCATTTTGGATGATTTCTTAGGTTGTGCATCACTGCTGGTTAATACTGGGCTAACCTTTTTGAAGCCCCCCCATATTTTTAACACACCCCCCCACTCTAATTTAGTGTGAGGCCTACAGTAGGTAAGGCCTGCTGCCCAGTCTCCATCATTTTTTGTGAATAAAATTATTTATAAATTCATTAGATTTACCTATTTTTCATGATTTGTTCCCTGCCTTTTTAAGTCATATGGATTTATGTAATGCTTATATGAAACACAAACAAGCAAATTCAAAGAATTGTGGTCCCCCTCTTTTGGTGTTTTTGTGGGTGAGATGTCATTTTTATGGCATATTGTGTCAAATATGAACACCCAATCATATGAGATTCAGAAGTTATCACCGAAGTTATTTTTTTTTAAATTAGGTCAAGGTGTCAAAAATCATAGCATGCTGGAAATATCTTGTCACAGGTAATGCACATGTCAAATATGAAAGCCCTATCTCTTCTCAATCAAAAGTTGTAAGGAAAAACACTTTTGAAAAGTAGATCAAACTTCAAGGTCAAGGTCACAAGATAAAAAATCATAGTATATTTAGAAAGGTCTTGTTACAGGTAATACACATGTGTATGTAATACACATCTTTAAGATGAAAGCCCTATCTCTTCTCATTCAAATGTATGATTAATTCAATGTAATGCTAGAATTTTTAAAAGAGGGTGAAAATTCAAGGTCACGGACTAAAAAATCATAGTGTATTTAGAAAGGTCCTGTCACAGGTAATAAAGATATGTAATATGAAAGCCATATCTCTTCTCATTCGAAAGATATGACCAAGGTTAAAGTTCTTGTGACGGACGGACAGAACTACAAAGTGACGGAGGGACAGACGAATGAGATTTAATATCCCCTCGTCGAGAAAGCGGGGGACAGTAAGGAATTACTGTTTATTTAACTATCAGAATACACCAGGGACATCAACGAAAGTTGGAAACGTGGGATATAGTTGATGCCCAGGTATACTCTACTACATGTAACTAGGCTGTGATTCCTAAACATCCTCCAGTAGTGAAGATTCAACCTAGAGGGTGGTGAGAATACAATAAGAGTTCACAATTTTTTTTTTAAAAAATACGGCAATTGAGAAACATGTAGGTGAGTGTTGTGGCACATGTGATTTTTTTTTTCCATATATCCCAGGAAGATGGATACTACGAAAGCCCAATGAGCTCATTTGGTAGGTTAAAAAAAATATTTTTTTCGCGTTCTTAGAACGCGTAACTTTCGCGAATAAACGCATAACTTTCGCGAAAAAAACGCGTAATGTTCGCGTTAGAACGCGTAACTTTCGTGTAATAACAGTAAACACTCGCGAATAAACGCGTAACTTTCGCGTTATAACGCGAAATTTTCACATATAAAGGCATAACTTTTGTATTATAAAAGTTTCGCGAATAAACGCAAAACTTGCGCGTTATTTAACTTAATTTACATATAGTAATGTTACTCAGGAACCTTGATCTTGACTGACAGATAAGAACAGGAACTTTCATGAACTTATTTAAAAAAATATAATTTCCTCAAAAGATGTACTGGAGAAATGATGGAAGAATGGGATAGATTAGTCATCCGATTATTTTTTTTAAACCTTATTCAATTTATGAAATGAATTTTACTTTCATGTACAGTGTATATGTTTTTCAATTGTTTAATTCAAGAAATTTTTTAGACTGATCATTAATTTAAGGAAAATCTCCACTTGACACTTTTTTTCAAGCTTTTTTTTTTAATCAGTAACATTTACTACAACTGTACCACTAGTAAATTAAACAATCAATTATTTTGGACTAAAAATTATACCCTGTAGAAACATAACCTAAAAGTGAGTGAACAATGTATCATTTTATGAGCTTAACGTGCCATATGATGCTTTATAAATAACAAATATAAATGGATATTGTTAATTACAATTTATAGAGGAGGGAAGATTTACTGTTCTTAATTTTTCTCCAATATTTATATATCCGAGGTGTTATAGAGCAGTTCGTGGACTAGCGCCATAAATCTAAACTATTTTAAGGTTAAATGTATGAGGCGCCGTTTTAATATTTTTGAGGTATTTTCTGATATCAAAAAAGAAAATCTTGATATCAATTGTCAATGTTTTCGTAAGCAATGGCATGACCACGTGGTTCAACATCAAAATACGATATCGTATTTCCACAGTGAATCCGACGGAGACAAATGAAAATCTGCTATTTAATTTTCACAAATATGGTGGGACACAATAGACAAATTTACCTCATTTTGTCAATTTTCTGAGATCTTGATCTTTATAAAATAATTTTATTTCAAATTCTCTAGAGAGTATATAAAAAGACGCCGAAAAGGGTGAGATTTCTAGAAATTTATAATCTTGACTTTTGGAAAACTCGCATAAACTTTGAATTGTATGAACAGGTTGAGAAAGACAAAATGTGACGGTAAAATGGATTCAATAGTGAGAAAACTTAAAGTTGTACCTTGTTATAGTCCAAGGTCAAAACAAACTTTTGCTTTATATCATTGTAATGAATAAACTTGATCACAAAATCAAAAGAAAGTTGTGTTGTCTTGGTTAAACAGCAAAAGTTTCGCGTTACAACGCGAGATTAGTTTCGCGTTTATTCGCGAAAGTTACGCGAAATTTTTTACTTTTTAACCTACGAAAATGAGCTCAATGGGCTTTCTTTTTTTTCTTCTTTTTTTTTTTGTTTTTGTTTGTTTGTTTGTTTGCTTGTTTGTTTTTTTTTTGTTTATGGCACCCAGTAATATGATTCTTGATACTTTATAATTATATATTTTCCACGTTCGGATTTGTTCAAGTTTAAAGAAAAATCAGCAATGTACTTCTCGTAATTTAGGTGGCATCAAAAGTGTTTTAAAACGAAGTACATTGTACAAGTGTCCACAATGAAGTGTAGAAATGTAAATTGTCAAAATAAACAAATTCTCTTCTTTTATAATTTTAAATCTCTCGCGCACTTAACTAGTGTCTGGAGAAATTTAGACCCTATGTAAACGAGATTCCTTTTGTCGAGATAATCATCCGTTGTTTAAATTCGGTTTACCAGCTTGCACTAAATCAAACAAACCGTCAGAAGTTTTGCATGTCTTCAGTGTGACGTATTGTACACGGGACAAAGGGATATTAGGCTTAGTCTATTACATACACTGGGGCAGTATGTCAACGCCTTTTTGATACCATAAGGTAAAAAAACTGTCTATTTTATTAACCAATATGTAGACTAGATAAATCTTTATTACCGACGTATTCTCCATAGAAAAAAATTATTGTCAGTATTTTGTTTTTATTTCTTGGGTAGGCAACGTTTTAAGGTGGAAAAAGTAATGATTTATGTTGGCCTATTATATGTTTTACAAATAAATCTTTTTTTTTCATATAGAGCAGTAAACATTTAGTTGAGCTTTTTTTTATCTATTTACATTGGTCGTAAACCATAAAGATGTACTATTGGTTGTCCGCACGTCTGTCCGTATGGCATATTGTTTCCAGAATGCCGCCTCATCCTTTATCGGTCTAGCTCCTCTAACCTTGCGCACGACTATAAACTATAGTATGTATTTGTTTTATTGCTAGTTTTTATATGTTTTACTCCATCGAGATCGGGGGAATGATCTGCATCTTTAAAATAAAAAAAACATACCGGTAATTTTTCAAACAAACAGCAGTGGAATTTCTTGGTAGGAAAATGGTCACATAGCTATATACCGGTAGATGCCACATCCTGAACAGTCTGAAAAATACTAGCATTGGCAAACCACAATTATAATCACATTTCATTTAGTACAGTTTTCAAGTTTTGTGAAGCCATTGTTCCTTAAATGGGAAAGAAACTTGCAGCCGCAATAGAAAATATATAAAGTTAGTTTACATGGTTTTGGAGAGAAAAATCTTTGGAAGAACAGTTAGGATAATGCATTTTATTTGCCATTTAGGCCAATAGGCCTCGTGATTTTTTTTTTCCACACCCAAACTTTGATTTCTCTTATTTTTAAATGTACGTGACAATTTTCAACCACTTCCCTTTTAATAAAAGAAATCAATATTGATTGGACATCTATCTCCTTCATGGAATCCCGTGGTTTCTATGTTTTCGTCTATTATGTGTAAATAATGTTGATCCATAATCCTGTGTTGCTTGAGATGATAAAAGATATATTGCATTTTGTGTGCCATGGAATTTGTTTAATAATACTATAAAATTAGTTCGGATTTAGAAGTTTTCTAAAATTAATAAAATTTATTGACGTACTGGCGTTTGTATGTTCTAAGTCTCTACATAAGCAGAAAAGTCGTCATCAGTGTAATGAAATGGATATTGGTTAAAGTCATAAAGATCAATCAGGTATAGTGATATCCTTAATACTAGTGAACTATACAGATTTGTGGGAGGGGGTCCTTTATCGTGGGAGCTTACGAAATTTGATATCTCTTGAGTTTCAGTGGCCATCTTGTTAATCAGACATAGATCATCGAAAGGGGCGATTTACATATAGAAAACATTGAATGATACATACAAAAAGATGATTTTCGTAGCAAAACCTGTATTGGCAAGTACCTGCAATGCTTACAATCAAAGTACTGAAAGTACTGAAAAGCGGTTAGCATGCTTTCATCGAATATGTATTGTGTACAATCACAAAAAATGCATTGAATGATGATATTAAGTAGGCATGCATATCTTTTTTCCAGTGTCATCAGTAAGAAGCAGACACAATGAATTTTGTAGTACTTAACTAAATGGTATAACCAATAACATCCCAGACTGATGTCTCAAATGTTTGTTTCAAAATATCAACCTGCGATTTTCAGTTTGAAAAAACAGAAAGTTCAATTTCAAAAATTTCTCCCTAATTGTCTCCATTGGTGGCGTCCAAAAGTGCTCAGAACGAAAAAAAAATTATGTTGATGTTGCCAATTTTATTGACTTTCTATAAAGGCTCTATAGCAAACAACTCAAAAAGAAAATAAAATGATAATTCAAATTCTTTAGATAAATTGATTTGGAGTACTGTACATAGATCTTTAGCTGGCTAGTCTGAGAAAAACGGATGGACGAGCAGAGAATTAATTACGGTAATTTCAGAGAGCTTCAGTATCGTAGGCTCACTGCGGGTCAGCAGGTGGGTTAATTCATACTATCTATTCCTACTTTTTGAAAATGAATTTTTCCCTGGAAACAAAGCTTTTATCATCTTTTAAATAATTTCAATTGAGAATAAAAAGAAGAAAAAAACAAACGTTTCATTATGGAAGTAATCCATAACTGTACAACTTACTTAAGTATTTTTATATAAAGGCTTTCTTCGTGTACTGGTATAACTTAAGTTAATTAAAAGGATGCCTTAATATTTTGGAAAATAAAAATTCGATTGAGAGATTCTCCGATGTTTTGCAGTTGGTAATAACCTTCAACCCCTTTAGCCAGTAATTAACCCGTCCTCCCTGTGCCTTGACCCCCTGTTCCATTCAGGCTTCAATTTAACACATAAATCGGAAATGCCTACTGGTTTTCTTGTAGCATTGGATTCAAATATATTTCCTGCTATACATTTCTTCCTAAAGTTTAAATCTAACGCGTTGATAATGTTATCAGCTTAATTTCATGCTGACTTCGAATTTCGTCACAGGGCCAGATCGCCATCAGCTGATGTCACGGAAATTTAATCTCGACACCAAATGCTTCTATACATAAACTTTTTTAATACAACAATTATAAATTTATTTCATTGACAAACAAAATCAGAAAAAAAATTAAAAACCAAAAGATTATGTTGTTTTGATAGTCTTGATTTTATTTAACATATTTTATATGTGTTAGAAACAAATCGTAGGTACTAGGTAGAGGCTTTGTTGAAGTTTCCGTTGTCGATAGGTAGCGCCTTATGGAAGTTTCCGGTGTCGACACATGCCATAAAGCGGCTAGCGAAGCTAACCGCTTAAAAATGATTTTTTTTTTTGCACATTTGATACTAGTATTAATGTCTGTTTGTGTGTGTGTTGGGGGGGGTAGGGTGGTATACTTTGCAAGCTGAAAAAATAGGTGGCCTCTTGTAAAGGGATATGGGTTTTAAAAAATTCGAAATGAAAAAAAATATGAATATTTAGATCAATGCCTATACATAATTTCATAAGCATTTCCATTTTTAGCTCACCTGAGCCGAAGGCTCAAGTGAGCTTTTCTGATCACATTTTGTCCGGCGTCCGTCTGTCTGTCTGTCCGTAAACTTTTCACATTTTCGACTTCTTCTCAAGAACCGCTGGGCCAATTTCAACCAAACTTTTCACAAAGCATCCTTGGGTGAAGGGGATTCAAGTTTGTTCAAATGAAGGGCCACGCCCTCATTCAAGGGGAGATAATTGAGAATTAGTGAAAATGTGGTGGTATGTTTTAAAAATCTTCTTCTCAAGAACCACTGTGCCAGGAAAGATGAAACTTATGGGTAGTGTAGATTCAAATTTGTTCAAATCATGTCCCCCGGGGGTAGGGCGCGGCCACAATGAAAATACCAAAGTTTTACATAGAAATATATAGAGAAAATTCTTTAAAAATCTTCTTCTCAAGAATGACAAAGCCATAATTCATCAAATTTATATGGAAGCATGCTCAGGTAGTGTAGATTCAAGTTTGTTCAAATCATGACCCCCGGGGATAGGGTGGGGCCAAAATGGCCGACCAAAGTTTTACATAGGAATATATAGGAAAATTCTTTAAAAATCTTCTTCTCAAGAATGACAAAGCCATAATTCATCATATTTATATGGAAGCATGCTCAAGTAGTGTAGATTCAAGGTTGTTCAAATCATGACCCCCGGGGGTAAGGCGGGGCCAAAATGGCCAACCAAAGTTTTACATAAAAATATATAGGAAAATTCTAAAAAAAATCTTCTTCTCAAGAATGACAAAGCCATAATTGGGAGTCCTTTATCGGATCATATTTATATGGAAGCATGCTCAGGTAGTGTAGATTCAAGTTTGTTCAAATCATGACCCCCGGGGGTAGGGTGGGGCCAAAATGGCCGACCAAAGTTTTACATAGAAATATATAGGAAAATTCTTTAAAAATCATTTTCTAAAAAATAGCAAATCCATGATTGGTCATGGGACTAGTTTTGGATTTAAACTTTACAATAAAAAGCCATTTTCTACTTTTTCCTACCCTTAGTGCTCAGGTGAGCGATGTGGCCCATGGGCCTCTTGTTTCGGGAAAGGTCCCATGTTTCTGGAGACGAGCATAAGATGTTGTCGACAGACAGGCGGACTTAAAAAGTTACTTAAATTAGAAAACTAAGGCTAAATCTCCTTGAAGAAAACAGTATTTATTAATAAACCTGTTCTTTTTAAAACATTACTTATATTGTGTATCTCTCTATTAAGAAGGCAACGGATTAAGTATATTTGTTTTTCCACGCCATTGTTAACAAGGGGAAATTTAAACTTCTGACTCTGTAGAACACCAAAAACATAAGTAAAAACCTTTATTAAGGTTATCTTAAATGTAAATATTTCTGTTTTTCCTTGTTATTACATACGATCTTGCTCTTTTCACAGTCTAATTCTAATTACAATGTACATGTACTAGTATACAGTATATGATGTTCTATGTTCTTAGATTATTTGGGTCATGAAATCTTGTTTTAATTCAGTTTTTACTTTATTTCGATAAAGATGGGAGAAATAGTAAAACAACTCAATGATGAACAGCGTGGAAAGGAATATATGCGCCAATCCAATCAACCAAAGTTTTTATACAAAGAATTCAGCAGACCCGTCCGTGCCGCTAACCATTTGGAGAATCGTCTGATGCTGGAACGGATCGCAAAAGCTGCGCATCTCAGCAAACGCAATCACTTTAAATACGATCGAGAACTTGACATGATTCACGAACTTGAGAAAACATTAACTATAAAATCTATTGATTTTGATGGTGAGGAATTTCATAAAGACCACGAAAAACGCCGTCATTTTCCTTTCACCAAAGTGCATACAGTGGCCGATATTCTGGACAGAGTTCCTAATAACTGTGTTTTGGAATTTGGACCTGGGAATCAAATTATTGAAAAAAGACCAAAGAGCAAAAGAAACATGTACAGTCAACCATTTGAGAACGATAGGCAACATTCACGACCCGCAACAAGTCAAGGGAAACAAAAATATCCAGCAGTTCTGCAAAAGAATGGCAAGCAGTTGAGGTCCCAGTCGGCATTTCAACGGTCCACGAATAAGTTGCCGCATGGTCTTCAACCTCGACCAAACACCAGCCACTCATTACGAAAACCGGGACCAAAAGGGGGGAGTTCTCCAGGAAATCAAACGGCAAATAGACTGACCATAAATATTTTGTCCCTCAATCGCCCTATGACAGGAATATCTCAAACAAAGGCTAGTGATTCCGACGGACAGTTTTGTACTAAGAAGGGCTCTGATTCACCAAATGAAGATGAACACAAATCTAAATCATATCGTACTCTAAAGGATATGTTCACATATAAGGAGGATAATGAACCACCTGTACCCGACAAAAAAGTCGAGTCTTTGAAAAGATTAAAGGCGAAAGAGAAGCTGACTTTTCAGAGTTTAGATTGTCGTGTGAAGGCATTTACAAAGAAACTATGTAAATCAAGGCAATAAAGTTATTGGAAAGTTTCTCAAGTTCAACCGTTTTCAAAAATGTCTTGTTCCGTATGTTGTGATTTGTGAAACTCACGTTGTGCTTAGTATTTTATTTTACAACAAGTTTCCACGTTTTTGTTTAGATGGATTGCTTATGTAATATCCTATGTTGTAAGTTCTATCTGAACTCTAGCTGCAGAACTGTAGCGTTATGGTTTTAATTTTCGTCTTTGACCATAAAACTGCAGATCAGCGCACGGGTTGGAGAGAATTTCTCCACTTTCCAGCATTGGTCAATCAACTACCCTTCACTCCCTAATGCAAGACACATTCTTTAACCAATCTGTATATTTTATCCACCTCCCAACCCCTTATAGTCGTCTTTACAAACTAATAAACTCGCTTGATTTGGATTTTTTGTCGGATGGAAGAAAAGTTATTGAAGTGGTGAAATTCTCCCAAATCGTGCGCCAAAAATTGCAAGTTTTATTCGCATTACGGGATCTGTAGTATTATGGTCAACGACAAATATATAAAACTATAACGCTTCAGTTCTGCACCTATTTGAACTCTCACTTTCATAACTTGTGATATAGAACTAAAGGCCGGTATACACGATGAGATTTGTAGTATAATACAAGTATTATAATACTTTTGTATTATAATACTTCCTTGTACACACGCTAATACAAATCTTATAAGATTGTAAATAAACTACGTATTCCAACGTGTTTTCCCCCGCCATTTTTCTCTCTCTGTCAAACTTATAAAAATGGAGGCTGAGGCTCTGATAGCAGTGTCTATCATCGTATTATGCACTGCTTGATATATTCCACAAGCCCTTTTCCCCTTCCCATTAAGCCACGAGTTTTTCGATGTCTTTACTTGTAAAGTCTATCATTATTATTTACCATGTGCTTTTTTTAGTAATGATAAAAATAGGATGACCCGTAGTGTCATTACATTTCATTGGTTGAAAGTGATAGGTAAGCTAAGACTTGTATTAGAAAATAGAGCATTGCTCTATTCTTAATACAGTTTTATAAGATTCGAAAAATCTTATGATACACTGTATTAAGAGTGTATACACAGTAAGATTTTGTAGTATAATACAAATCTTATAATACAAATCTTACCGTGTATACCGGCCTTAATGAATATTTAAAAAAAAAAAGCATTCAAAAAACTTAATTTCTGAAAAAGAAAATATCAGTCAAATTATATTCTTTTACCGTATGTACATGTACCGGTATATACAGGGTGTTTCACAATAAATGTCACACATCTAAATGGGCATACTCTGAATATCGAACATGATACCAAAAATATCAAAGCACTTAAGTTAAGCACATTGATCTAAAATTATTATGTTGCAAAATATCGGGAAAATTTAAATAAACCAGGAAGTAACTGATGATATAATCAGTGATGTCATAATTTTAGCTCTTCTCAAAATTGCGTAAAACTTGCAGCAAAAATTTGTTGTAATTTTTTATTATAAGAACCGTTTACGATATTTTATATATTTTACAGGGGGTGATGATAAAAAATAACTAGACCAGAAATTACTGTCTACTTTTTTTCTATTAAGAATAATTAGAGGGTTTAAATTAAATTATAATGTAAAGATGAAAGACAAATAAACCCTGCCTCTTCTTCACCCAACCCTACCCCACTATGGCACGCCGATTGGTTCAAAATTATTTTCTGCACAACGATCAAGATTTTATACACGAGCTAGATGAAAAATATACACGAGTAAAATAAAAATGCACGTATAGGTAAAAATTGCACATAGTTTGAAAGATTTTAACACAAACATAACGAAAAATACACAAATCCGAAATTTTTTACACGATCTAGGGGTATAATATGCACAAACAAAAAATCTGAAATTGCACGAGCAGAGGAAACTAAAAATTACACAAACAATTTTACTGCGCATACAGCTGCGCATATCATTATTATGCACATAGAATATTCATCGTGTTCTTGGTTTTCTGTACTCTTTATCTCTTCAATCATGTATACTTAGCTGGATGTAATCGAGAATGGAAATAAAATGGCGTTGACGATGGCATGTGCTTTACTTTGCTTTTTTATTTCTTTGCTAAACCTCGATCCGATTTCTAGCTAATGTCAACCGAACAAATGAAGTGTTTTCATGTGATCTATATATATGGAATACTTCAAAGTTTTTCAAAATATTATGTTTTTCTTGTATTGACCGAGATCCTAACTAATATATGAAAGTATATCATTTGATGACAAAAATTGTGACAAGAAGGAATCGTATAATGCGAGGTAAAAAACAACAACATTGCATATGATGCTCTCGACTCCGAACTAAACGATAAACAGTGCGGCTGAATAGGATCTTGATTTTCTAAAAAAAAAAAAAATTGTTAGAATTATTATTATTTTTTTTGTTTGTTTTTTATTTAAATAAACTCTCTATAGCTTTTGAAAAATTCTAATTTATTGATACAATTTTAACGGAAATTACTTGTATAAATATAAAATTAACACTTGCATAATCAAACGATAAATAAAGTTGATTATTCATGAAATTGGCAGAATTATTGCTGATTATAATCATTAAGCTGTAGAATTAATTTTGGTACTCTTCATTTGTACCTATTTTATTTCCTTTACCACTCGGAATAGGAAATTATATATACCTTTATTCATTTTATTGGATATATATTTTTTAACTTAAAAAAAACTTGGTATTACTTTAGATGTACACAGCATGTATTTAGATCTAACGTCAAACATAAAAAATATTTTATTCTAATAACACATGTATTCATTATTAACTTATAAAATATCAGGATATCAGTTTTGGTTGGAAATCTTCTGCATACTTTGTTATGAATTCCTTCCATGAAATCTCATATTTTCAGTTATAAGCTACTCAATAAAAACAAGACATTTCTTGTAAGCGTTATCCTCATTCGTAATGGCGATTGCATGATAAATGTTTTCATTTTAATAAAAAGGACCAGATGAAAGGAAAATATATATACTCTATGTGCTTTATGTACATGCGCTTTTGTGTTTTGTTATTTTTAAAACATTGTGATTTACTAAGTACATCTATGCTTACAATGTTACAAATAGGAAGCAATAAAAAAATTAGAATGGATACAGCAGTGTAATAGAACGTGTTTTATCACTCTTGAAAAATGCAAATAATTTATGTTCTTTATGGAACTCGATGTGTGGCAACTATTTTCCAAGACAACAAATTCTGTTTACATTTCAAATTCGACTTCATGATTTTTAAAATTATTTTCCAAACACTAAGTTTCTTGTAAGATTACCTTTTTTTTTTACCCATGAAATACATGTAAATGGCCATTATGAAAAAAGAACATGTTTATACATGTACTTGTATTATTATGAAACGAAATTAATCGTCAATCAGGCCTGTAGACCCCCCCATCCCCCCTCATTTTCGAGTATAGATTTTGCTATAGTAAATTTTCCTTTACATGCTGGTTGACCCCAACCCCCAATTTTTAACTGTTGTTAGGTCGAGCGCAGGCAAATCCCAGGATATCGTACATGTACCCTTAAATTCTTAAAAATATATTTCAGGCACGTAGCATCAGAAGGGACCTGCCCCCCTCCCCCTTCGTTTTTTTGTTGTTGTTATTTTTGTGTAAAATTTCAACTGAAAAGTCCCCTTTTTGTTGCTGGATTGGAATTGACGGTGCCTCGATCACTACGTCAACGAAATAGGATTTTCGAGATTTGACGCTTTACCTTTTTTCTGCTTGTTAATTAGAATGTTTAGGTATAATTTGCCCCCCCCCCCCTCCACACTTTAAAAAGCGATACTAAATGTGTATCAGCATAATATAACTTTAAATTGTTTAACTCCTTTATATGCATCTTACCTATTCAAAATAATCTACAATAGAAAAACAAATTTCACATAAGTAAAACACTGTATAATTTTACTACGAGTTATTTTTAAAAAAATATATTCGTTTAATATTAAAATTAAAGTTGCGCAATTATTTGCTCGTTTTTTTTTTTACTGTTTACTTCTAAAAATGTATCGGGCAAATTCCACAACCCAGATGGCAGCAACATTGCTTAAAAATCTCTGAATGAATTGCTAGAAACCTTCAATCAAAAGGTAATTATTGATGCGTCAAATAACTATAAATCGATTAGCGTACAGGTGTCTTTCATTCCAGCACCAGCAGGGAGCAAGGAATCTGTCGATATGAAAACGTCACACATCCACAACCTTAATTATTACCAAAGTACACACAGTGGGTGATGAAGGAAAAGAGTTTCATTTGTTGTTAACTCTCCTGTATTACCTCACGCTGTTTTTATTTATTTACCTTTACTCTGATATTATCATTGTTTTGAACTTTCAAAAGATATTGCTATTTAGAGGAATGACGTAAAAAATCTAACAATTAAACACGCAACTGATAATATATATGCACCCCCCCTTTTACGTTTTCTATACCTGACTGTGTAGAATGTTTTTAATAGAGGGGTGTTAATTGATATGCATATTGTGTACCTGTCAATTTTTAAATGTATAAAACACAATGTGCATATTCTTGAGAGTCTAGCGTAATTCTGAAAGACAATCTTTTTTAAAAGATTGAATAAATATTGTTAACACATTACTCATCCTCTTTTTATAACGTTTCAAGCATCCAAGCCACACTGAGCTGTTCTCTAATGAATATTAATGAAATGTGCGCAATGAGGATGCGCCGTATATTATGTCGATGTTGTATTCTCACTTGTGCAGTTTTCGTTTTTACGTTTGTGTAATTTTCTCATTATATCGTGTAAATATTTTCTTGATTGTGTAGTTTTTGTATAGTTTGTGTATATTTCAATAACTTTGCATGTATTTTCCGCACTTTGTGTAAGTTTTGACTTGCTCGTGTAATTTTTGTTTAAGGTCGTGCAGAAAATATTTTTGAACCAATCGGCGTGCCATACCCCACCCCCAAAATATAAAGAAGAGATGAGAA